TATATATATATAGTTTTTTGGTTTTAACATATATTAAACAAACACACGCGCGCACACACACATCACCAACATTATACTGTATATACAACAACAAGATAGAACAACCAGCCTATTTTGCAGATTTTGCAACATTTTTTTCCTCCATTCATTTTTCTGGATTTATTTTCTGCTAACCAGGGGCTCTTCCTTATAGTCATGTTTTCAATTAGTGTTAAAATCACCCATTTCCAGACGCAGTAAGCAGAACAATTACTGCTTAGTGTCCGGGTTTGACTATACTCTTCCTTGATTGGAGATTGCAGAACCCCAAGGAAGGCTCTTTCCATCTCTTTGAGCGCTCACGGCATATGTCACCGTAGGTCACTGTGACAAACACTCCAGCAAGTGTGATCACAGCATGTCACACTCCAAAATACCCCAAAACAACACCAAAAACACCTCTGACTCCCCCAAAAAAGCAACCCAAAAAACCCACCCAACACCAAACATATACATGCCCCTGCCGACACCACGCCTCGTTCGCCCGGAGGGCGGCGGAGCAGGCCCAGGTCACTGCTTGCTCAAAGCTGATAGGCACTGGGGTGGAGGCCTCGATGGTGGCCTGGACACGACACACGACGACGGCGAGAGACGGCGAGAGACTGATGGTTCGATGGTGTGAAAGCCCGAAGAAGAACAGCACCAAGGTGGAGAGGCGGATACAGGCAGAGAGATCAGAGAGGGGACTGGGACTGGTGAAGACAGTGTGTCCCCAAAGATTGGAAAACATAGAGGCGATGAGACATGCGATGCTATAGACCATGCACACCAAGCTGTTTCGATTCACTGTTGGGCACCTCTACATGGAGTCCGGGATTCATAGTTCTTACAGAAAGGTCAGCACCTTCTAATCTCGGTCCCGGATTCTTGCTCATATATATAATTCTATTCCCCAGAATCCTAAAGTCCAAGGACAAGACTAGTATTATTGGCACCACAATGCACCACCTAAAGGAAAAGGAAATTCCTGGACTCGAGACATCCAGGCAGACCAATTTTAAAAATAGTCGATTGGACTTCCAGGGTATTGCAGTACGGTTGCATGATTCTCAGGTGCTCGGGAGGAAGTTCCATGAGGTATGAGGTGAAAGCAAAGCACAGGACTACAGGACTGCAACTGGTCGATATCTCTTTGTCACGCCCGTACTCTCACCAGACCTATAATAATTAGTTATATATACCAGACAGACATTACCAGACATACATTAGACGCCCAACATGTTTGTGGCTTGAATTCTTCACGGGTGGATATCATGTTCGTGGGGATGGTTGGTTGAAACAAGTCTCTATACCAGCAGTTACATGTCGGGGTGCTATCCATGGAGGTTAGGGGTGCCCATTGTCCACTCACTGGATGGGACTAAACACCACCCCGACATGTGACTCCTGGTATAAGCGGAATTCGTTGCTTCTTTCGCCCAAAGCATCTGTCTCCAGGTCGCGCAGGTCCGCCGGTCTGCCTGTACCATCTCTTCTCGCATGCCCTGCGCCAGCCTCCTTTCCTCACTCATGCCTGCGGCAGCGTCTGGGAGAAACGAACAACGCGGAGGGGTAGGGCGGCAGACAAGCGTTGGCCGACGCTGATGGTCCTGTCTCGAGCACGAAGTGTCCTGTCTCGATCTGAATTCCGCTTTCAGTTCGCCCTGCATCTCTTTCCTCCCACTCAAAGCCTGCAGACTTGTGGCCATCCTTTCATCCATTCTCATGTCCATTTCCGGTGGCTTCTCTCTCAGGAAAAAAATATTAGAAAATACATCCACCCCATCACTTGCGTCCCTCATCCCTCTCCCCTTCCGCCTGCACCCAGGCTGTTCAGCGTTTTCTGCATGGGCGACGCGCGCAGCGCGCAGCGCGCGGAACCGCGCGCGGCACCGCGTGCCCCACGCGCCGCGACGCGGTTCGTCGCTGCGACGGCGAGGCTGGCCGTGGCGACGAGCGCTGAGCAAAGTGGGGCCTGGCCGCCATGGGGAAGGTGGGGACGGTGGGAAGGAAGAAAAAACCAAAAAACAAACACTTCCAGGGGCACTTGGCCATTTTTCAAGCCCGACCTCCAGATCCAGAATGGTCCGGCTTCGGCGGACGGAGTGATTTCGTAGCGATGTGATGTGGGTTCTACTGGGGGTTCTGTACATCTTGACCACTTTTGAGCCTTGCACCCTCCTCGTTCACCCGCATTTGGGTGATCCTGAGAGCTTCCAATCTGATGGACACCTCCTCGTGCCTCTCATGTAGCGAAGTCAAGTGATTTTTGAATGATCCAAAAAGCCCAGGGCTCAGGGGGATGGATGAAGGATTCGCAGTGGGACGGCGTGTGTTCCAGAATTGGTAGGTGTTCCACAACTAGAGGACCTCAGGTGCTGAATCAAAGACATGACCATGTAAAGACCACTCCTAGTCTCAGCCTCCCACACTTTGATCAATATGGCCTGGCCCACTGGGGGAGCCACCACGGACCCAATAGTAGAAGGGGAAGAAGATTATATACACCTTCTCAGAAAGGCTTTGCAAGATGATGTTCCTCTATTCAAAATGATCAGTTTTGTAACTTTTGGGCGTCAAATCCGAAAACCCTACTTCTCAGGCCCCCAAAAAAACACGTCTGCACCAGGACAGCGTCCCGCCTCGTGTCTGCCTCGCGCAGAAGGCCGCGCAGTGGGCGGCCGGTCGAAGCCTACGGTGTGACTCCTGCGACGGCAGCGCGAGTTCCTGGTTCAAAGACTTGTGTTTCTTTCCTGCCTGGTGCCTCAGGGGCGGGTCAATTGGGTTTTCTGGCTACCCCTTCTTGGCATGTTGGGAGCAGGCGAAAGGGACGCAATCAGAGGTGTTAAGGTGGGAAAAAGGCGTTTAAGGTCATGTATGCACTACACCCTGCAGCTGTCGCTCAAATATAGATCGTGAAACGACGTTACTTGCAAAAGGACTCGGATACTCAGCTTTCGTCAAAAAAAACCATTGAACATGGTTGAACGCAAGATGTGCGTTTTCACCTGAATGTGACCGTGTTGTCCAAATCTGTGCTGTGAAGCAGCTGAAAAGTCCGTGTCCCTTAGTCCCTCGGTCTGTCCCAAGTCCTGGCCGCGCCATGCGGCGCCCAGGACGGCGCAAGGAGGGACATGGCTGGACTCATGGCTCGCGCACGAGTCCAATCGAAATCGACGGTCCACGGTTGGTCAGAAAAGACACGAACTCGTTGAGTCCAAACTGGTGGATGGCTCGATGACCTGGAGGTCTCGAAAGCGTATATTGGGGCACCGTTAAGCATGCGTCTCGAAACCGTGCCGCGTGACGCTCTTCTGATAGGGCCATTGGAGAAAGCAGGTATTCTTCGGCTAAACATGCACATGAACTTCTCCACAGCTCCAGAGCCGCAAGGCGAACAAAAACCTCGAGTTTTTGTGATGTTTGAGCTTATAGAGCTATTAGATGCTATTGTCGTCACGTTGCCAGAGCTATTAGTCGCTTGCCACACGTCCCTCATTCCCTCATTCCCACATCGGCACAAGGTCGGTCAGTCCGCCCCCGTGCAGGAGAGTCACGGGCCATGTGAACGACACGGAGACACGACAGTGACAAAGCCCAGAGAGTCCCAGGGTATCCTTTGCACATACTTAGACTTACTGGGAAACTGCAGAATCTCGGTGAAAACGGGTTGAACATGGCCATCGAGACTCCCAAGATCACCCAGGCCGGATGTTCTCTTCATCTGAAGAATGAGAAAAGATGAGAAACCCAACATGGGTCCTCAGCAGCTTTTGGGGGCAAGACTTGTGCAAAGAAACAAGTACAGTAACAGAGCCTTCACAAACCTTCAAAGTGGTGAGAAACTCAGCTGAATCAGCACACACGTCTTCAGGCGTATGGCCCTTCCCCGCGATCCCAACATGTTTTCGTGCAAGTCGAACCTTACCTCTGAAATCCTCCTAGCTGGCATTGTTCTTATTTGGAACATCTGTTCATCTTTTTTTCGGAACAAACACAGAACGTTGTTCTCGACAGACCACGACCTATGTGGTGAAACCTTCCCGAGCTGGAACAGTTCTCATTCACGAACTAGTACCCAGACACGACCCATGGGACTGCCATAGGACTGCCGATCAGTTGGGGTGGTGCCAGGGGGGGTCAATTGATCGGCATATATGGCAGTCCCATGGAGCGTCTGGGATTTAGTTCAATGTGATGGTTCCTGACCGCTAAAGGGATTCCACAGAGACAGTCTGGCTGGGTGTTCCAGACCTGGCCACGAACACATGGGCGCGTGACGCTCCGATCCAACATGCACAGGGACATGTGGCATTGTGCCACCAGGAACTAGACTTGAGGCTTAGTGACATAGGTGGCAAGGCCTCAAGTCTAGTTCCTTGCCACCTTAGTGACATAGGTGGCAACTCAGGGTCAACCTTGGGACCCACCAACCCCGATGGTTGAACCGTTGAAACCCCTCACGGCTCCGAGGTCCAGGCCCACCGTCATCATACCACGCCTTAGAACCCGTGTGCGGCGAACCCGGTCAGACCGATCAATCCATGGGCAAAAGGCTCCTGGCAGCCTGGCGCGACCTGCGCGACCTGCGTTACACCTGGGGAGCGACCTCGCGGCCTGCCAGTTGGTACGCTGTTGGTACGCTGCTTTGTAAGCTTTGAGGTTGCTCAGGTGTTTTGCCGACGCCATTGGGCATTGACATGCGTTGACCTGGGTTGAGATGGACATGGGTGATGGTAGGCACAAGATGGATGGTCTGCAGGCAAGGACATGACATAGTTCATGCGTGCTTCATGGAATGCGTGCAGGAAGCCACTGGGCATAGGAATTCACGCTCCCAAGTGGGTTGGCCTTCCCGTTCCCACGTCGGAGCAGGGCGCACTTTCCAGCTGGCTTACAGCCGCAAGATTTAAGTATAAAATGAACATCATGACATCGAAGCGAAAGCGAAGCATGTCACACGGCCTTCATCGAAAAGGACAACTGCTCATGCCCAAGTTCGTGAGTTGCACTCAAGAAAGCTGTGGCCTTTTCGCATTGTAAAGAAGGGTAGGGGGTCCTGAGTCAACCATCCCACCTTTACACCTACAATGAAGAGCCAAGGATCTGTCAACCGATGCATCGAAAGAGCCTCCAGCATGTCGATTTCGTCTCAACTCCAAGGCTACCTTCCACTCCAGAACCGCAGAAGTCCGCCCCAATGAACTCAGCTCCTTTACAAAGTAGCCCTGCAGTTCTTGAGTCAACCAGATTCGGGAAGTAAAATGATGTATATATATATATATATATATGTCAATGGGCTCCATTGGATGCAACTGCATTCTCATCCCGCAGGGGTAGCGAGACATCATCATCTTTCCGTGCTTGCTGCTGGGCCAAGAAGTACCAGGGGTCCCAACACAACCACTGCAATCTGCCAATCTGTGGAATGACGCTGTCAATCTGGGGAATGACGTGGGATGAACCGGCAGGGGCGGTGCATCACCTGCCCATCTAGATATAGTCAATGCCATACGCAGAAAGCTTTTTCAAGCCCACTTCGGTACATGGCTCCCAGAACCTTGTGCAGCGATGTTGCGCAAAGCAGTTCTTGACCTTAATGCTGGCCTGAAGAATTTTGTGGCTACTCGATCTGCTGCAGTTCACTTGGCACCTCTGCCAGTTCGGCAGCTAGGCAAGTCGATCAAACCTCTGGGCGTCCCCTCAGACGCACCAACGACCCTCTGAAGGCTCCGCGTCGATCCGCTCTGGTCGATACGACCTGTCTGCTCGACATCGAGAGAGACCTGGATTGAAGCGCCAGTGACAAACATCGCGTGGGGCCCTGCACCAAATGGTCTGAGGGCACCTTCAACTGCTCCAACAGTCGGTGAATGCTGGGTGACATCAACAGTTGAATAGTGTGGACATTGTCTGCAGCGTGAGAACCCAATCCCGTTCTCTCCAGCTCTTCTGGTCAAATATGCTGGACAGGATTCCCACCGCTGGTTCTCCTGTCCGTAAGAGCGTCCGTAAGAGCGCCATTATAATATATATATATATATTACTGTATTGTTGTCAACGGTCGTGGACTAGTGGCCTTGTTTCTTTCCGCAGCCTTGCCCAACCTTGCAGTGCCCGCCATGTCCTGGAAACTCACTTGGGGGCGAATGCTGGAAAAGTATCCATATGTTGGGTATATCCTATTCCCTGCAGAAATAGCTGGATCTTCCAACTTTATGCACAATGTCGACCTTTTTGAAGTTGGTTGTAACAGTGGATGATAATGCTTAGGTGGCAGGCCTTCCTCTAAAGTGATGTCTTTGTTTACCGACTGTTGCAGGTAAGAACGGACACCCCCAAACAACAATGGTTTCGATCCTGTTCTGCCAGAGTCTTCGCTCTGTCTTGAAGGTCTTTAGCCCAGCTCAAACAAAAAAGTACTTCACAAATCTGCACGTCTGAAGCTGTCGAGCTTCCAATTCAATTTCAATTGTAATTCTTATGTTTTGCAAAGTTCTTCCACTCGTCCACCCTCTTCGCGTTCGTAACCCATCGCAACCAGTTTGGAAAAGATGGCTTTCTCCACAAGCCTCTGTCCCTTGAACCTGGGTAATGTTAGATCAGTATTTGTGGGTACCTCCGCAATTAAAGTATCAATCCAGAAAATCCAGATCAAACTTGATTTATTATTCGACCAGAAATTGCCCACAATTAGCAAAAATCACCAGTCCCGAGTCCAGATCCATATTTATAGTATTCACTCGCCAAAAAGAAGAATGTTGCACAGAGAACATCGCTTGCAGATTCTTTTCATGCACACACACAGAAGCTGTCAGGACAGAAAAGAGACCCACTCTGCCACAGTCAACTCCCTGTCTCTCAGGGAGATGCTCCTCCAGGAGTAGGCAGAAGAGCTTTCTTGCCAGACATAGACATATACAGTTAACAGTTCAGAAGCCTGCAGGTGAAGAGTATGTCCAAATAATTTTTGTAATGGATGTTTTATGCTTTGGATATGATCTGGGAATATGTTTTTTTTTAACACTTTTTTATGAAGCCACAATTGCAATATGCGGCACTGTTGGGGCTCACTGTGCCAGATGAGCCGAAGCACGTGCCAGACATACCCAAGTGTGTTGCCTGGAGGCCTAGGGCGCCACAATTTTCCAAGTTCTGTGACAGGTCTGACAGCCCCCTACATAAGAGTTTCCAAGTTCCCCTATACGAGAGTTCCCAGTTTGCCCACTGACAACACATGCTGCTTATTGCAGCCCTGGAGCACCTATTTAATGAGCCTATTTAGTAAATTTAGTAGTCCTCAAGCCATTAAAAGAAGAAAAAACATAAACATATCATAATTTCAAATTTAGCCGTTTTCACAACCATTAAAAAAAACATAAACATATCTTCAACCCGTTAAAAAAAAAAAAAAAAACATAAAACACAAAAAAAATCTGGAAATGAGCCCTGTGCAGAGTTTATGAAGTCATAAATATACCGGCTCAGAAGCAGCTGCAGGCTCCTTCAGAGTGCTTTCAGCAGCAGCAGCAGCCTTCTTCACAGGGCTTATAGTAGCAGGCCTCTCATTATGGACCAAATTATATACCATAATTATGGACCCCCCCAAACCTTTAAAAAAAAAGACATTGGCGAGGGGGGGACGCCAACTCATACGGATCTAACATTACATTACAATGTCCCACTCAGTTTGTCCAGCAGTGTTCCATGGTCCAATAAACTTCTCGTCTTTTTCGCCACTGGAAAGGCCTCCACATCTTTTCGTCTTTCTTCCAACACCAACACCTTTGTCATGTTTGGACTCAAGAGGCCCCAGTGGCCACCAAACTCAACCCAGTTGAAAATTATAGAATATTAAAAACCCCCCCAATTGAATGGGAAATCCTCTTCATACCTAGACTGCCTTTTCGGGCCTGATTTTCCGCCTGAATGTGACAGAGCCTGTCTTTGTGACAGTGGGCTGAAATTACGGACTGGGCCGCAGTCTAGGTATGGGGGGGCTATTAAGCAAGAGTCTACAATAATACCAAGTCACAAGCTGTGCCCGTTCATGTTCCAAGCTGTGCCCGTTCATGGTCATGACCCGATCGGTGGAGCCTCTATGCGGAGAAACGGCCCGCGTTATATTGTCAGTTACAGCACGCTTCCATGTGTTCATTTAGGTCCAAATAAGACAGGTCATCATGTTTGGTGCTCTACTTTCCTTTATTGATT